TCAATTAAAAAATTGGATAACTGAAAAAAGAAAGGATGGAATACAAGTTACTGGTAAACAGGTTCTGCGACAAGCAAAATTAGTAGCCGAGGAGTTAGAAATTACATTTAAAAGATCACCAAATTGGGTATATAATTTCATGAAAAGAAATGATGTAAGAAGAGCTGCAACATCGGTTGGACAACATTTGCCTGCAAATTGGGAGGAAAAGTTAATACAGTTTCAACATTTCGTAACCGAAAACAAAATAAACGTGGACTTACCTAACATTGGGAATATGGATGAAGTACCAGTGAGTTTTGACTTACCATCAAAATTTACTTTTCAAAAAAAGGCAGTGATGACATAAAAATTGTAACTACTAGACATGAAAAATCTAATTTCACAGTGGCTTTAAGTGTTCTTGCTAGTGACAAGAAACTGCTACCATATGTACTATTTAAAAGAAAAACACGCCCAAAAGGAAATTTTCCAAAAAGTGTTATTATTTCGGCTAATGAAAAGGGATGGATGTCTTCGAATGAAATGGAGCTATGGCTAAATGAAATTAAATACTAAAGACTAAAGAAACTAAGACTAAATAAACGGCTTGGATCATTTTTTAAAAGGGATAATGGCCTATTAATATTGGACTCCGCACCTGGACATCGCACCGATGCTGTAAAAAATAAATTAAAAAAAATCAAACAATACCTGCAGTTATACCTGGAGGATTAACGAAACTGTTACAGCCGTTGGATATTTCAGTTAATAAATCTTTTAAAGCAAAACTAAGAGAATTGTGGGAGAAATTTATGATCAATTCTTATAATGCTTATAAAGAAACAGGAAAACCGATAAAGCGAGTGTCTTATGAAGAAATCGTTAATTGGATTGACACAGTATGGCAAAATATTTCTGAGGACGTCATTAAAAATGGATTTAGAAAGACTAAAATAAAATTCTACAATGAAGAAATAATTCCTACAAGAAGATGAACCTATAAATGAAGTGGAAGTAAACGATTAGAAAGAAAGCAACAAAAATAATCACGAGGACGATCATTTATTGTATGACTGCCTTTTGTCAGGCTTTGATTCGGATAGACCAGGTCATGAAGAAGACATGGATTTTATGATCTCATAGAACAGTTATCTACCTACACATAGTAGTAGGTACATAATTTGTTTTATTTCTCATAGAATATATCTTTTGTTTTAATGTAGAATATATTATATTGTTCCATTAAAATATATTTGGGTTTTTTTAATTACCTAGATATCTACGTAAATAAGCTTTTATTAAAAATAAAAAAGTACTATTTTTGAAATGTTTTGCAACTGTTTGCTATATTTTGATATGTAAATTCTAGCCGTCAAAGAAAACCGATCAGAAAAACATTTTTGAATAACATTTTAAATGGATAAATATAATGTAAATATAATTCTAATAAATACTTAGATAGGTACATTTTGTACATATCTACAAGCCGCAACCTTTTATAAGCCGCATTTCTTTATAAGCCGCGCTTTAAAACCACTTTTTTTTCATACGAAACCGCGGCTTCTAACGGAAAAACAGGGTAAGTTGTCTGCCAGAAAATATTTATAATCTGAAGAAAGGAACTGTATTCATTAAATTAGTACTAATAAACAGTTTATTTTATTAAACAATATTTAATAGATAGTCTACCAATACACGACTTACTACCGATTTTCAAAACTTTGATTTATTTACGCATCTGAGAGCAAAAGTGAAAGAAAGCAATATTGTTAAGAATAAAATATGCTAATACTTTTGTTCTAAAAGTTTTTTTGTAAAATGCTCCGATTCCCGAGTATTACCACTAATAACTTGTAAAAGTAGCAAATTCACCAAATTTTTATATATTTCCATTTTTCTCACTATTGATGCATCTAAGAAAAAAAGTGAAAGAGAGCAATATTGTTAAGAATAATATTTGCTACATCTATTGTTCTAAAAGCTTTTTTGTAATATGCTCCGATTCCCCAGTGTTACCACTAACAACTTGTAAAACAACGAAATTCATCAAATTTTCATATTCTCGTATTCTTCTCGATATTTCAACATCTGAGAGCAAAAGTGCAAGCAATATAATCAAGAATAAAATTTGCTATAACTATTGCTTTAAAAGCTTTTTTGTAATATGCTCCGATTTTTCAGTGTTAGCATTAACTACTTGCAGTAAACAACGAATTCATCAAATGTTAACATTTTCGTATTTTTCTCGATATTTAAGCATCTGAGAGCAAAAATGAATGAGAGTAATATTATCAAGAATAAAATTTGCTACAAGTATTGTTTTAAAAGCTCTTTTGTAATATGCTCCGATTTCCCAGTGTTAGCAGTAACTACTTGCAATAAACAACGAATTCATCAAATGTTAACATTTTCGTATTTTTCTCGATATTTACGCATCTAAGAACAAAAATGAAAGAGAGCAATAGTGTTAACAATAAAATTTGCTACAACTTTTTTTCTAAAATTTTTTTTTGTAACATACTTCGATTCAACAATTTCTGACTTTATATGTAAATCTACCGATTTTTTAACATTGATTCTACCGACTCGACATTTGGCCAGCATAAATTGGCAACGCTGATCACAAATGACAGCAAATTGGGAGACTTTTTGTGTCATACAAACACGTTGTTACCATGTTGGGTAATCAAATGAACCACATTGTATTTCAATAATTGCGAAACTTCTAGAAATGTTAAACAGTTAAGGTGTTGAATGAACCTAAAGATACACTTTCTGAACAATCATCTTAATTTTTTACCAGATCACTTGGGTGATATCAGTGACGAACAAAGTGAGCGATTATATCACGAAATCAAACTCTTCAGGTTAGTATAACTTCTCTTTATAACAGGAACTGACGATCATATAGGTGATCAAAATGTCTTCAGATTGAAAATATCACGAAGCAGTTTACCAAGAGGTTTACATTTGTGTGAACAGTAACCAATGTTAATTTCTGCTCTCACTCCTCTGTATCAGGTGGAGCCCTTCCAAGAGCTTGTACAATATTATAGACATGTTTTCCATGCCTAGAAAAAGTGAAATCAAGATCTTTTCTTACTTGGATAGTGTTGCATACTTAACCTGTCAAATTAAATAGAGCTAGTTCTGCTGACAGGCAGTGTTAAAAATGCAATTTACATTTGGACTTCTTGGTAGCTCAGAAAATTTTGTATTAGCCAATTCGTCGGAAAACGTCCTAATAAGTAAAACTTCTCCGATAACTTGATGTCTTAAAGTGTGTCTTCGAATACGGCAGATACGTTGGATGTTGCAGCTGCTCGACCCTTAAACCATTGTTAGTTGCAGAAACAAGTTAAATAGCAAACCAATGAGACCATGAAGAACTAAGCCATAATGTCCCAACCCAACCCAACCCAACCCAACCCAACCATTACGAATCTTTTAATAAAGTCCTTATAAACTTGACCTCAGACTAGTCATAATATTCTTCTTTTTGCAGTTGAAAAGATATCAAGTAAAGGATAGGTAAAATACTGATTATAATAAAAATTTTTTTAATTTTCTGACATTATTTGTAGATAATTCATTTAAAAACATAAATTTCGTATTTGTACTGTAATGAGTTCGGTTTGTAGGGTAATAAATTACAGTAGACGTTAATTTCGTTTTCCCCAAGAATGTATCATAAGTAGTAAAAACGGTTGGGCTTCGTTTAGCCTCCCCTATTGCCATATTTATTCATACACATCCGCTCGTAATGGCGTATAAATGGCGGTAGAGACCGAAAGTCGCGTTTTCTATCTAAATCACGGCGACGACGACGGCGGCGGCATATTGCGACGTGCCTCGCAGGGCAAGGGCAGAGCAGGGAAACGGTGGTGCGTTCGTTCCTTCCCTGCAACGCCCATAAATTAAACTGTAAATTACTTCATATAATTTAGCCGGGGCCGTACGCGAGACGTTACTCCTCGGTACCGGGCACATGCGGGCGATATAATAAGTATTTGATTAGTGCAGCGAGATCGTGCCAGGAATTTCAACATTATTGCTATTCCACGAGTTGCCTTCGCCTTCGTCTCTACCGCCTTTCTTATTTCCATAAGATTATATACGAATGCACACCCCTCCAATAATGGGGCGCGCTGTATAAATTTAAAGGCTTTAATGCAAAACGCAGGAAGGTATAATTTCCTATCTTTTCCGTTCTAATATATTGTCTACTCTACAACTACTATAAGTTTTCCCTTAATTTAAACTTAAATAGTAATTATATTACTAAGTACGAATAATAATTACATAAAATTTTGAGTGAAATTGGATAAGGGATTCTGTTTAGTCACAGTTTAAATTAACAAAAGATTGGTGTCGATGTAATTATAGTTAATTCGAAAACCAGGATCCACAAGTACTATAACAAACGTCAAGGTAAGGATTCCTCGAGTTGATAAAGGACCCTTAAACAGCCTCTCCTTAATAATAATTCTCGAATATTCTGAGATCTTGCCAAGAGGGACCCCCAAACACGATTTCAACACCGCCCCGTGAGAAATTAACCAATTTATATCAATTCAATCTTCTACATTATTTCGATTTAACATCGATATTTTAGGTTAAAAAAAAGAAAGAAATCTGATAGTTTCGAATAAACACCATCAGAAATAGAAAAAAAGAAGAAATAATTTTATGTATTCAATCACCATTATTCTTATTCTCGCCCAACATAAACCCAACTCCCTTGTGGAATACACTTGGTAAAACTTTTCTGAGAACAATGAAATTCTTAACGGGTTTTCATTCTTTCTCTGTTCCACGCTGACTTTCCCACTTTTTTTATTTAGTCGTTTTCTTAGCGGCCGTTTGAAATGGCTTCTTTCAGACGCGAATTCAAAATAAATAACTGAAATTCTTTATATATTTAAAAAAAAAATGTTTTTAAAAACCTCTTTGTGATAAAACGTTTAAGATTTAACTTCGCGGATTAATACGAATAACGCAATTAAAAGGAAACTTACCTTCCACTTCCGGTGAACTTGGTGCTTCTAATCTCGTATCTTCATCTAATATTCTTACTTTTGAAAAGCCCTAAAACAAGAAAATATATTTCTAAATCATCAATTTTCACTAAGTTAGATATCACTTTTTCATCAGATAAAAACAATACGGACAGGATAAACTAGGGAAGAGACACACGAAATTGTTAGGATGAGGGAGACAAAAGGGTGCGTGAGTGCGTGTGTTGGAAGCAGGAAAAGAGGACAACTTTATCGGGGTGCCGATCACGCGCGCGGACTCAATAAGGACAATAAGAGTTACCTTTGGTCTTTTCGTTCACTTTCAATTTCCCGAAAATATATCTCGCACGCATCTCTCTTCGCCCAGGAAACTCAAAGGGAAAAGTTGGCCGGCACGTTCGGCTTCGGCCCCGTCGCAATCCATTTACGACCGAAAAGGGGGCCAACCAAGCCGACGTTTATTTGTAACCATCGCGTATAGATAAGACCATCGCGGTCGTATAGTTAAAATTCATTTCCTACCCGCAAAGTGGTCCGTATACAAAATTTTCTGATAGCAAAAACAAGGAGACGAGTCTCTCTCTCAGAGTGTGGTTTACGATTAGCACATTTCGCTTATTTAAATGAGAAAGGGTTATAAATTTTCGCGATAATCTAAAGTTATTGTTTTAGGTTACAAAAATTAAAACGAAATTTTCATTATTCTGTTATTTTTAAGTCTAGTGATTAATATTTCATCCGTTAATTTTCACAGTTGTGTCCCCTCAAAACACAGGAAACGCGGGGTTGGTCGTTATTAAAAATCTTCTCCGATCGCGTCGACGAAAAATTTAATTTTCAACACTGGATGGGACAAACAGCAGGTTTTGAATACGAAAACGACGGGTCCTAAGGGTAGTCCAGCTATAGGGGGAGAATAAGGGATGGACAATGGTCGGCCTATCTTATTTGTCAGAAAACTTTTGGCAGCTTGACGCCAGAATTTTCCCCTGGCGTTTTTGCATGTTCCAAACCAACTAAAGGGGATGAAAATGGAATAGCTGTGTTATATTTTATGTCACTCTATTTAAGTACGGCGTGGTTCAAGCAACTAATTCTTTAAAGTTTTTTTTTTGAGTTTTAGATTTCTAAAATAAAAATGCTTAATATGTATGTAAAAAACGTTCAAAATGTGATTTGTTGTCGTTTTGCGACGTTTTGAAACATATTTAAAATTTCTATCTCTTTCTGTTTCGATAAAGAAGGAGGACAAAATCAAACTATTCAACAATAACTGGTGAAACCCATTCTTGAGAAACAGTTCTTTGAGCTTTTCTTATGGAAAGAGGAATGGGTCAACCTGAAAATACACTTTTCTGTCACAACTGAATATTGAAATTGTTTGATTTTGCATTTCATGTTTTTACTCTTTGGACGTTTTACCACACTGAGACGTAATGACAGCTTCTCTCATGTTAAAAGGGCCATATCTGTTTTTTTAGCCAGGAGGAATGGAAAGCCAAAAAACGTATCAAGGACTGCTCTAAGGTTTAGGTCATGTCAGCTGATAAAGAGAACATCATTGTTGTGATGGATCAGATGAGTTCCGCCATTAAAGGCTTGGATCTCCTTACACACGAAAAAACGTATGTTTCATCACTTCAGACCTTACACTCTTCCTGAATCGGAGACATGAACGTTTCGTCACTTCTCCAAGTGCTTACAATGTCTCTATCATCAAGATATATGTCAATGATATCATTCTATCCATACCAGAAACGAGAATTAAACTTGAAAACTTCTGTACTAATGACAAACATTATTTTTTTAGTATAAAAATCAAAATCTTACAGAATTAATAAGAAACTTTTAAAGAAACGTTTTGAGATTAAATAAATAATTTAGAAATCACACCGTGGAACAAAGGAAATTTAACTCTCAAAGAGCCGAGCAATTAAGAGATTCTGTACCAAGTCTTTTAATAGAAACCGGACCTGGATTTTCTGGGAATACGGCCCAGTCGGGCAAATTAACGAACGAAATATCAATTATCAAATATACCGAGGTTTCCCAAGAGGGAGGGTGGCACAAATGGTGGTGCTGGGAAACGCCAACTGTCGCGTCAGTTAAAATCTTGAAGCCCCTTTTTGACGAGGCGCATTCCTTGAAAAGTCCGCCTGCTTGTCCCATTTTGTGCCAGATTTACAGTGGGGACGTTCATAATCGAGTGGAGCGGAATGAATAATTAATAGAAGCTCGTGGTCAGATCAGTCACAATTTTATTTTTAGAATTAGGGGGGAAGAAGAAATGTATTCAAGGAAATCGAGCCAATAAGAACTAAACGTAGAGTCACGGTTTTGTTTAATAATTATAATTCGAGTGGAATGAATTTTGATTACTTCGGTTTTTCGCACTGTCGCCCTTCGAAGGGGGCAACAGCCGGCCCACTAATTTGTCTTCTTGTACTCGGAGGTGGTAATACATCGTCGGAACATGCGAAAACGGTGTAAAGGAGGCGTCAACGGCACAACGCCGAAATGGAGACATTGCACAGGGCGTGGAGGCCGTAGACCCTTTCCCAAGGGCAGATTTATGGCGTTGTAATGGGGGCAAGTGTTTCTCCCACAAGTCGCCCGACCATCACCATTTTGTCGCCACCGAGGACGACTTCTTGTTGCCTCCAGAAATAAATTGGATTTTGGGTCGGGATTGCGAAATCCGGGCGAAACTACCGCAGTTGTTTCTTTATGTTACCAATTCTGCTTTCGCGTAGGTGAATCTCCTTAAGCAAAGACTTCGGGAGTTACAAAGACTGGTTTACGGTGTTATTACCTTCGATTGTTATGTTTTAAGAGATTTATACTGAGGAGGGGAGTTTTACGGCGCCATTTCATGGTCTAAGGGAGACGAGGTCGTAATGTTGATTCCTTACACAGGGATCTATGATCTGTTTGCTAAATAAATATTTGTCTACTTCGTTTTATTGGGAAAGAAAAAATAGAATTGATGTGATTTAAACACAATTTATCCTTATCCCGTATATTTAAACTCACTTTCAAAGACAATATGATGACATTAATTTTATATTACCCTGAGGAACATTATAGAAAACAGATAGGTAATTTATTTGCTTATAATGGAGCGAACCTCATACATATGTTAACTATAAACTAATAAATAACGCTTTAAAGCTCGCATGCCCTCTTCATCCCCTTTATAGAAAAATTATACAATAAATCCAGGGGAGATTTTTACTTTAACGGCAATATAAGCAACAGAAAGAAGTGCTTTGGCGGTAAGAATTTAAGAAAATACTAAAATGTTGAAGTTTTATTGTAATTTAAAACCGCATAAGCTCGCTAACGCTTTTTATCGGTTGTTTGAGGGTAAAGTTACATTAGCGTCGTCTCCGTAATTTTACTACAACGTCAGAGCATCGTTTCGCAAGTACTTTACGTCTTCTTTAACCAGCGGGAAACCGGGCATCTTTAAGTAGACGGGCTTTCGAGGTGCTTATTAGAGCTTTTATGTTAAAGCGATACGTAAGTCGGCACCGCTGTTCCCTAATTAATCACGCATTTTCATGTGAGATTGTTCTTGTTTTAACAGGTATTTTTTATTATATTGAATAGAAGTTGATATAGTTTTCTCTTAGGTAATTATTCCTTTAATTTTAAATTAAAGCCTCGATATAACGGATTAACACTGGGCAGAGAGAGTGTTAGTTCAACGAAAAATATAGAATAATCTAACGCTGAATAACAATTAAAAGTAGAACTAACATTAGTATTATAACTAACACTAGACCTAGAATTAGAAACATTCGGGTTTAGCCACAAGTCTCTTAAGACGGCTAAACCCGAATGTTTCTATTTGTAGGTCTTGTGTTAAGTCTGATGACGCACGACTAAACATGTAAAAACATTATTTCCAATTAATTTCTAAAAATAAAAATAAAAAGGTGTAGTAAAGTTTTATTTTTGGCAATTTAGTTAACGCTTTCAATTGCCGAATTTCCGAGGGGTGGATTTATAGACATGCATCATGCAGCAAGTTTTCGTACCAGCGTAGATCTTAAAGATAAGATCGAGCTCCCTTTAAAACCGTAAATTTCCGGGCCGGAGCGTCGGGTCGCAATCGCTCCCGGCCGAGCTTTTTCTTTTCCTTTTTATGTTTAGAACGTACAAATTGCTTTTATTGCCACCGTACTTAATTACAACGACTCCCAGACGTTCGATAACGATTTTCATGACTATACACGGAGAGAACGGTGAACGATGTGCCGGGCCGCGCCTTTTTATCTTGTTTTCTTTTCTCCCCGCCTGCGTTAATTTGATTGCAGCCGGAAAACTTTAAAACTGCCGCCGCTTCCTCAACCCAACCCCAGGCCTCGGATGGATATAAAACTAAATCGACTCTTTACTACCACCGCCCCTGTGATATCTATTTGAACGAAGATACCATTCGTTCACCCACTTACGCCCTAACGGCAACGGGATTTGTTACCCATTACTGTGTGAATTTTACACCTATTTAACTTTAAACGAGAGGGAAATAAAAAAGGGGTTAAACCTAATGCGCTTTCCGTGATTCCGAAATGTTCCAAAAATAAAGCTCGTACAACTCTTTTCGTTAACGTGTTCTAAAATACAGCGAAACGTTCTTAAACGTAAAAAAAGATACAAATAATCTGATCGAAAAAGTGGAGATATACGAAATGAGGTGGAGAAATTGGGCAAATCACGGTTCCGATAGAATAATATTGAAGGTATTTCCGTCGCGGCCGGGTCGGAGTTAGGGCAGGCGTCGTGGAATGGGGCCCCAGCGTTGGTCTGGGGAGGTCTGAAAAGAAAGTTTTCCGAAAGTTTCGGCCCGATCCCGTCCCGGCCCCACCGACGCCGCGTCGCGCCTCCTCTTTCGTATCGATTATAGATATCCCAGCAGGAGTAGCATCGTGAACACATCCGTACCTACGCGGACGACGATGACGACAACGTAGGTGAAACTGGATGGAAAAAAGTTTGTTCGTGACTATGACCACCCTTCGAGTTAAATGGATCTGAAGGAATTCCCCGAGCGCAACTACGTTC